ATGCGCTGCTCGTAAACATTCTTCTCGGCATCACTGTACTTGAAAAGTATATGTATATATACTTTTGGTGCGGCTGATTGCAATCAAAAAAGGACGTGCGTAACTATATGTTGCAGCAGTCATATATACAAAATTTTAACGTTCAGAGGCTAGTCGTCTTTTAGTTATGCGTAATGTACAGATGCCACGAAAAAAATATCTTCTGAATCCATTTTAAATCAGTTTTAATCATTCATTTGAGGGGAAAAAGTCCTTTATTCTGTTTTTACGTACAAATGTCGGATAAAAATATCGTTAAATTGCATTCGATAGCAGTGAAACTGGATATTCTCGATGAAATATGGTTCTCGGAATTTTTCGTGATTAAAATACATCCTTTACTTCGTACAAGAAAGTGGTGAAAAATGGAACTCACCGAGCCGAGTAGCACAGTGGGTGTATATATATATACCCAAATAGCAAATGCTTGCACAACTCAGAATTTCAAATATGTAGATCTAGGTAAGTTAAATTAGGACTATTTATGCTATTTACTGGCCTTTTCGTTATTATTATTTTTATTTTTAAATTTTTATAGTTGTATATAGTTTATTTTAGGTTTACATGCATAATTCGTGTTGGGGAAGTTTCAGTAGGCAAGAGTTTCTAAATTACTTTGGTTTTCTAAAAATTTTGTTTTCTACTCTTAATTGACTTAATTAATTTTAACTGTGGTTACTTGCTTGCTCTTTTTTCAAAATTCTATCTTTTGTCAAAAGTTCAAAACAGTATTTTATCAAAATACTGTTTAAATTTCTTTTTTCGTGATTTCTTTCATTTGGTTTTGCTTTTGGTTTTGAGTTTTACTTTTGCCCTTGCCTATATGAATGACGAATCACAAATTGAGTAGTTGAAAAGTTAGGTTTGGGAGTAGCTTCCCCTTGATAAGTTTGTCTCTTGCCTGTTTAACAGTTATTCACTTATGCAATTTTATTGGAATAATATATTTTTCAGGGTTCTAGATACGTGTATTTAATTTACATATGCTCTTAGAATTTAAATGATATTGTAAATTAATAGTTCGCAGCAATAATAATTATTTTTATTTTTATTTCTTTGCAATTTAAATTTCTTACTTAAATTTTATATTTGCTTTATACGAGTGAGAGTGTTTGTTGAATTCGGGTTCCATTCGTTGCAGCAATAGAGCAAGAGAATTGCTTAAATTTAATTTAATATTTTAACTTTACTGTTTACTTGTGAAGCATATATATATATGCATATAAGTGTCGTTGTAAGTGTCGTTTAAAAAAACACAAGTCGATTTCAATTGTACAGCACAAGTTTCAGCAACATACCGCGAACACAGTGCTGCAAAGCTTTAGTTTCTACGACCATTATTTCAGCAAATACTTAGTTTTTATTGTTCTCGTGAAACGCGGCCGATATTCCTTTGTTTGTGAAAGTGGTTAAGTGAAGTGCCAAGGATCACAAGTTATTTATAAAACTCTTCCTGTGTAATAGTGCTTCCGTCTATAAAATTAATTGAACTTTTTGATTAATTCACATTCCCAGGATACCTATGGATGCCATTTGACGTTATTATTTCAACCAATTAAGAATATGCTTTTTTTAAAATTCTTTTTTAATGTCATTTTATTTTCACTACAATTATTGTTATTATTATTATCTGGTATTTAGAATCGTATGTACATGTGTTAACGTAAGTAGTGTGTCTTTTCATACTTATTTATACTCCCCTAACCTATCACATTGTGTTTTATGTGTTTTGCATAACTCTGAAAAGTTTTTACATACCGTTGTATCTGAAAAGTTTTTACTCTGAAAAGTTTTTACATACTGTTGTATCTGAAAAGTTTTTACATACTGTTGTTCTAAGTATAATACTGATTACTTAACACTCACATGTAGAAATACCTGTCTGAATAAGGTTTAGAACTCCTCTTAACAACTTAATATAATGTACGTCTGACAACTCACAGTTATTTAATTAATTAACCTTTGGTTAAGACTTGACATAATATAGTATTGCCAACAGGTAATTCTGTATTTTTATTTATTTTGAGTATTTTTCTTTATATATATATATATTTTTTTCCTAAGAAACGTTGGAACTGCAAAACACCTGAATTTAGAATTATTTTTTTCAGACTTTATGTGAGTAATAACATTTACTCTAATAAGCAATTATTCACTAATATTTATTTATTTATTTATTTTTGTTAACTTCATGTACTAGTAATTTTCTGCTCTGCTTATGAATAATTTCTGATTTTTGTCATTTTTGTTTTATGTGAGCTATGAAATTGTAAAAATAGAAAACTTAATACCCAAGAATATAAATATATTTCTGGCAATTTAACAGCTCTTCGTCAAATAGTGGCAGACCAAGAACTTACTCTAGCGAAGCACGAAGGTACAATTTCGGAACTGAGAGAGCAACTGTCTCTTCAGTGTTCAAATACTACAGTTATTTCTGAAGTGAAGGAACATTTGCAGCAACAATAACACGAAGTTTAAAAATTATTCGAAACAAAGTTTCTAGAACAAACCCCAAATTCCTACGCCGTTGCTGCCGCCAAAAACATTTCTTTGAAACAGACTCCAAAAAGTCAATTCAGAGATCATATTCTTCTCCTGAAACCTAAAGATTCAGAGAAAACACCTGAAGATATCAGACACCAACTAAGTTCGACACTTAATCCACAAAAACTGGGTATTCATATCAATAATATTCGTACTACTAAGTCTAATGAGCTTTTAATCGGTGTCGAAAAGAAAGCAGACTTAGAACACTTACACCGCTCAATCGTTGAAAATTCCCAACTACAAGCCTCCGTAACTGTTCGTACTTCAAAACCCAAAAGTACCAAACTCATAATGGTATATCTATAATCCATAGTTCTATTTGGGAGAGCTTTCGATCTCTTTCGATTCAAATCACTAATTCAATTAAGTCTTAACGACTTTTATTTACACACATCTTTTATATTACAATATATACATAATTCGAGATTAATTTCAAATCAAAAGATGGGGATTATCCCCCCTTCGTATCAAATTCTATCGAGAGAAAACCGAGTGAGCGACCGCTCTCTTCCAAGTTCGTTTTTCGATTCCCCGTTGCCACTGGCAGAAGAGAAACTTTCGCTCATTTCGCGTTCTAGTTGTAACATTTCTCCCACCTTTTGATTTTTGACAAAGTATGAAAAAATCAAAACAATTGTGAAATGAAAATTGAAATACTAATATAAGATGGGTAATTTAAATCTTACCAAAATCAACAATTTTATCTACTCGTAACAAATATCTTGAATATTTTTAACTTACTTAATATTCTGCAAACTTAAGTTCTTAAAACAACAGGCAAAAAATTCTTTTCTGGAAAATACTAGCAAAGAGATTAATTCACTAAACTGGAAAATCAAATTGTATACAAAAATTAAATTCAAAGAAAGGAATAAAGAAAACAAAATTAAACTATTTAAAGTTCTCTGGTTTCACAATTTTTCTACCATATTTACTAAACTGAATGTTTTTATCAGAATTTTCAAGTTCACTGTTTTTTGTAACAATTACTAAATCATTCATTTTACCAGTATTTCTCGGAGATGTGGATGATTCAGTAGTTTTAAGCTCGAAGATAGATTCTTTATTGTCTCTCTCCATTGGAAATACTCTTTGAACTGGTCTTAACAGTTCACCACTAGATGTTTTTACTTTCACCACTCTGATATTGTCGTTTCCTAGGTATGTTTCGATCTCACGACCCATAGGCCAGTCTGTTCTTTTCCTTTTATCGTCCTCTACAAACACTAAATCACCTTTCTTGATGGTTCGCGAAGGTATGGTCTTTGGTCGAATGTACTAACAGTCCAAGATATTCATCTCTAAATCTTTGACGAAATTCTACATGTAATTTTTGGTGGTATTGCCATCTTTTCGAGAAGTTGATTTTATCCAAACTGTCCAGATCCGAAACATCCTCAGTTCGCACATCCTGAATAAACGTAGATGGAGTGAATGCACATAAATCGGTGGAATCTTCTGACTCGTAATGTTAACGGTCTGGAGTTGATATTTGCTTCTGCATTACATAGGATAGTTAACATTTCTTCATATGAAAGTAATGCTTTTCTCAGGACTCTTCTCAATAATTTCGTGATCATCTGAACCAGTCTCTCCCACCAGCCGCCCACCATGCTGCGGTTGGTAGATTTAACTTCCACTGAATTTTCACTATCGAAGAACTTCTGATAATTTGGTTCCAGTCAACAGATCGGAGCGAATTCCTTGCCCCTACAAAATTTGTGCCATAATCGCTGTATACTACTCTTGGCCGTCCTCTTCGTGCTATGAATCTTCTAAATCCGAGAAAAAATCCATTAGTCGATAAGCTTTCAATTAATTTTAAATGAACCGCACGATAAACTCCACAAGTAAAATGCAAGATCCAAGCTTTTCTATTTTCTTTTAAATAAAGTGGTCCTGCTACATCAACACCTGTCACCTCAAATGCATAAGCATCTCTGACTCGATCTTCTGGGAGAGAACAAGGCACTGTATCAAGAGCATTCGCCGAGTCTCTTGCACCGAACGCACTCGATATGACTCCTTGTACTGTTTTCTTCCTTTTATTATCCAAAATTTTTGACGAATATTGGTCAAAAGAACTTGAGTACCAGCATGTAAAAGTTGTAAATGGTAGTCTTGTATCATTCTTTTTACTAATTCATGTTTGGTTGGAAGTACAATGGGGCACCGGAAGTTTTCATCATCATGTCTTCTCAAAATCTTCGTTTTTTATCTTATAATCCCTTCTTCATCTCTGAAATTAAAATGTCCCTTCAACTGTTCTTCACTAGAGAATGCTTCTTGTTGAACGATCTTCACTAATTTCTTCTCAGCAATGTCCAATTCTTCAACAATCAGGGTTTTGCCATAATTTCTTCCTCCATGTCTACAATTATTTATGAATCTTAGAATCCAAGAAATCATTCTCACAATTTTAAACTTGAAAAGCAAATCAGATACCATTTTTCAGCGGTGATATTAGCCAAAGTCGAAATAATGTTCTTTCGCTTTTCTTTCATAATTTCTTCTTCGTTAGTAATCACTTCACTAGTTGGCCACTCTTTCTCGTTCTTCATAAGACATTCTGGCCCTTGCCACCAGCGAGATTTCACAAAACTCTTAATCGAACACCCTCGTGATGGTATATCTGCTGGATTCGAATTTCCTGGAATGTGACGCCATTCAGATTCCGATGACAATTTTCGTATCTCTTTTACTCTATTTGCGACAAATGGCGCCCAATGGTCATCTCTTTTTATCCAAGAAAGAGCAGTACTCGAATCTGTCCAATAGTTCCTTGGAACGTTGTCTAATTTGAGTGTTTGTAAAGCAAGAGCTGCGAATCTGACTCCTATACAGCAGGATAATAATTCTAGACGTTTTATGGTCATTTTCCTTAATAGACTCACTCTACTTTTGGCTAGAAGAAAATACACTGATACATTTTCACTTGTTTCTTTTCTTAAATAAATCACACATCCATAGGCTTGTTTACTTGCGTCACAGTACGTATGAAGACTAAGACTTTCATTTCCGTTTACATCTAAAGCCCTTGGAATTCTAATACTGGATAAAAGTGACAAATCATCAATCCACGAATAGAACTCTTTTCCTAAGTCTTCGGGTATATTTGTATTCCAACCAGTTTTTAACAACCATGTCTTTTGTATGAGTAGTTTAGGTGTTAGCGTTATAGGGCAGACAAAAACCATGGGGTCGAAAATGCGATGTACCGCAGACAATATATTTCTTCTAGTAAGATTCACTGGTCTGTAAGTATCAGTCTTCACCTCACAGAAAAGGCTATCATCTTCCTTATCCCACAAAATTCCCAATACAGGAGTAGGTTCTATACTGTCCTCAGATTTCAAAAGAGAAGTGTGCTCCCACCCTCTCAAATCGAATGACGCAGAATCTAATACTTGTTTCGATTCCTCGATGAATTGCGTAAGTGTCTCTTCATCAGGAACAGATGTAATGCAATTATCTACGTAGAATGATTTTTTTTTTAAATTTTCCGCTGTTTCAGGATATTTAGACGAATTTAGATCAATGTGATGGCTTAATACAGCAGCCAATAAAAAGGGACTGCAATTCAATCCAAAAACAACGCGTTTATGTCTAAAAACTCTAAATTCTTCCTTGTCAAAGTCTTTCCACCATAAAAATCGTAAGAAATCTCGATCACTCTTATTCACTGACATTTTCAAAAATGCCTTTCGTATGTCTGAAATAACTCCTATTCTATTCTTGCGAAATCTTAAAATTATAGGAATAATTTGTTCCAGCAAATTTGGACCCTTTTCAAGTGAGCGCGAATTTTTATCTTTACAGGAAGCATCAAAAACCGGTCGCAATTTCATGGTCGAAGTTTCTTTGAATACCCCTTTATGTAGTAAATAGTGACACTGATTATTCATTTCGTGTTCAGGAACTTCCTTTATAATTCCTTCATTTAACCAATCATCTGTGAAAACATTTTCGTAATCCTCGAATTTTCCCTTTTGTATCAACCGGTGTGTCGTACTGTTTAAACGCTGTTTGGCAATATCCAAATTTTGACTTAAACAGTCCTTTTCTGTTACCCAAGGCAACTGAATCTCATACCTTCCCTCTTTAAAGGTAACAGTTTGGTTAAAATGATTCAATGCGGCAATTTTCATTTCTTTTCTACATTTTGTTTCAACAGGGTCTTGAATTCCCAATAAATCTAATTTCCACAAATTTTCAATCTCCGATGTGTGAATTAATAAAGAAGTCACTGCGACGGCATTAGTTACATTTTCCCCATTTTCAATACGATCAAATAGTTTTCCCATTAAAATCCAATCCATTTTGGTTTCCATTGGTAACTAATGTTGAGTTCAAAACGTTCAATTTTGTCTTTTACTAATTTCCAATAATTATCAGCTCCAATGATTAAAGATACGTTGTTGTTATCTAAAGATTCGTGATCAACATCCGCTAAAATTATTCCCCTATCTTTTAACAACTCCTTAATATTTTGCGGAGGATAGTCTAGCTCAGCATTCGATATTTCATCAGTCTGTAAAACCTGAATAATTAATTCCTGGTTATCGAAAATGTTTTTTATTTTTACTTCTACTCGCGCACATTTCTATTTGGTAGGTACTTGAGATCCGAAAGCATGAGTCATTATTTCTTCCCTTCCCACTTTTAATCCCAGTTGTTAGACAGACCGTTTCTGAATATACGAGCGTTTGACTAGCGCTGGTCAAATAAACAAACGAACTAATTTATATTGCGCGACCGACTTTTAAGTTCTACTGTCGTCGTCTGTAACAATATTTTATTCCTAACGATGCTAATGTGATTGCACGCTGAATTTTCTACACCTTTTGATTGCGATGCTTCGGGTTTTTTCTCATTTTTTGTAACAAAGTTTGCATTATGTTTTTTATGTCAGTATACACAAGACTTTTTCTCAGAACAATCGGAAAATCGATGACCTTGAGCCTGACAAACATAACAACGACCTTCTAATTGCAATACATTTCGTTTTTCATTTACACTCATATTACACTTTTCACTATTATGTGTGTTATTTTTGCAAAAAGTACAGTTTTCTTCTTTTACAGAAGCTAATAATTCTGCCGCCGACGAGGAGTGAACTTTAGAGTTAAACTTATTGTTTGTGTTTTTATAATTACTTATGTGTTTGTCGAAGTATTTATTCTTTTCGTTCAATGGAACGAGTTTCTTTTCCGGTTTGTTAACTGTGTACGTTTGTTCGCGGCATTGAATTTCGTTTTTAAAAAAAGCAATTAAACCTGTAACATCAGATTCCTCTTTGGGATCACGCTTTCTGTGATAATCGAGAATCAAATCATGAGGCGATAATTTCAATAATATCGGATTTAACCGTACGAACCTGAAGTTACTCCTAAAATACTTAAGCTTCGAATGTTTATTTCACAAGCGTCGTGTAATCTTCTTAGTGCATTTAAGTTAGAAGAATTTTAATGGTTCTATGTCCAAAAGATTATTCATATGTGATTTTATAATTTTCTCTGGTTTTCCAAAGCGTTCTTTTAAAAGTTCTAAGCACGAAATCGTAATTGTGTTCGGTTAACTGAAATCCTTCAATGACATTATATGCTTGCCTTATCAATAATGATTTCAAGTATACGAATTTTTCAATTTTGCTTAACGCTTTGTTCTGATCAATCGCAGGCTTGAAAACTGTTAAAAATTTCTAACCATTTTCCTGCATCTCCTGAGAACTTTTGGAATATTTAACTTTGGTAATTTCATTTCATAGCCGATGACGATACATTTATTTCAGAAACAGAAGTGTTCAAAGAATTAGCATCTGATGCATTTTTCACAGACAAATTTTCATTACATTTATTTAATCTTATTTTAATTCTAAACTTTGCAGACACAATTTGTTCATTGTATTTATCACATGCGGAAATATCTTTTCCAAATTCTTTAGCATCTTTTAACTGAGTTTGGATTTGTGAATTCAACATTTTCAACGTGTTTTCTTTTTCGAGAATAGTTTCATTCATCTCCTGCAATTCCTCAATGTTTGTGTTTTCGATATTTTCTGACAACAAAGAGTCTATTTTTGTAATTATTTTCGTAACGCTACTGCGTTCATTCGTACGTTTCTGCTTCAATTTGTCTAAAGCTTCCATGTTTAAAACTGACTAATCACAATATTGAAACCCAGTTTTTTCCAAATTTTCAAAGAAAAAGGAATTGCTTACCTGTTTACTGGTAATCTATCTGCTAATCTTCGAAATTCTAATCCAAAAATCCCTTAGTGAAGGCACCACTAAAATATGTTATATCTATAATCCATAGTTCTATTTGGGAGAGCTTTCGATGTCTTTCGATTCAAATCACTACTTCAATTAAGTCTTAACGACTTTTATTTATACACATCTTTCATATTACAATATATACATAATTCGAGATTAATTTCAAATCAAAAGATGGGGATTATCCCCCCTTCGTATCAAATTCTATCGAGAGAAAACCGAGTGAGCGACTGCTCTCTTCCAAGTTCGTTTTTCGATTCCCCGTTGCCACTGGCAGAAGAGAAACTTTCGCTCATTTCGCGTTCGAGTTGTAACACATAGTGTTTAATGTGCCCTCTTCAGTGGCTGCTGAAGATATCAAATCGGCTTTTCTGAAAATTACACCAAATAATAATCTTGTTATTTCGTGTTCTCCAGTTCACCGATCTGAAAATACAAATAATTGGATTGTAGAAATTTCTTCAGATTCTAGTGACTGTTTTACTTCGTCAAGAGTCTTCATTGGATTCAACTCGTGTTCCTTCCGTTCCCTACATTTCACTTCTCCCGTTGCCTTCATTGTCAGGGTCTTGGACATAATAGTCGAAGCTGTCAAAATCCTCCCTGCTGTTCCATCTGCGCAAAACAACATTCCCATAGAGAGTGTACCTCAAACGTAAAACTCTGTGTGTTATGTCACAAATTTCAATTATTAATATGTGTTTCAAGTCATTATTATTCTAATATTTTTGATTGTATTCATGTGTATTTTAATCTGAAAAAAAAGTATTCTTAAGCTCTTAAGGCTCTATTTAACTCGTTATTCTTGAGTAGGAATTGTAACAAAGGCGGGAGACGGTTGCGAGGACACACATCTGGTTTATTGGTTATAGCCTTTTAACTAACCATGGAAGGCAATAGGGTATGTGTGTCGCCCCTTTTTTAGCTCATGGCGTGTGAAACGGAAATTATCTTGCGTGTCGCTTTGTAAAGTTTGCAGTTTTGCGCACTTCAAGACAGTGGGGGTGTAATAAGGTTAGATAATTGGATGCTCATAAAGTTAGTTTCGCTTGTTAGTTGGGGGGTCTATTTTTTTTTTCTCACGTTGTGAGTACAGATGTTTTTCGGATTGCATTGTCAGATTTTCTGGTGTTTGATTCTTCATCGGTGTGTCATTTTCTCAATTTAGATAACATAAAATTCCGAGATTGGTAATATTTAATTTTATGATTTTTTTGAAAGCTTATGAACTCACAGAGGCGGAGAAACCGAGATTTCCTGGGTTCTTGCACCAGGCTAGAGATCATTCTGATTCTGAGTTTCTAGAAGAGTAAGAGGAAAAAAAAAAGTGGGGGCTTGACCCTTCGGGTCTTGCTTCTCGCGAGCCGCGTGAGCAGCCGGCAGCGGGTATGATTTTTCTCTCGGCTTTTAGCTGGCGAGAATTTGCGTGGCATAAGGCATAGAGCTCAGCAGAAGAATTTCGATTTATCTTATCCCAAGAATTGTACGGCAGATTCTCTTGGTGATCCTGACATCCTGATTGCGGTATTCCTGTTTTTTTACCGGCTTTGACTTCCTAATTAGATTTTGTTCCAAGGATGCTCTACGCTTATGGGGAGTTTCGGGGCTTCCAGAATGAAAGAGACTCGTGTAGGACCCTTCTAAGGTGTGCGTTACTGTTTATTCTGCCTGTGCCAGCTGCGTCGATTTTTTTTCATCATTCCATGCTCTGGTGTTTATTTATTGTAAGGACAGCTTCAGTGGTGTTGCAACCAAGTCATCTTTAAAATTCGCAAGAACTGCCTGCCTCCATTAACGATGATTTTGTGAATAAAGGACAGCAGGAATAATGTGGTGCTCGAGTAAACTTTGGACGCTGGACGATCTGTGGAGCTGTCAAATCACCTTATTAAATCAGTATAAGAAGGTATTCCCGAGTAAAGTGAGTGTTGCGGTTTGTACTTCAACCCGTAATTAATCGATGTGGAAATTATCAGTGTTCTTAAAGTGAATTACCATGATAAATACTTAAAGTTAGAAGATGAAATGGGAGAAAATACTAGTGTTACACTTATGATACAGTAGAATTTGATAATGTTAATCTTAATTAATGTAAGCTGTAATTTGGTGTAGTATTATGTGTTATTTTGCTTAGAAAAATATGTATTACTGATCAGTTATCCATTATTTAATTATATAATATATTCAAGAATTTAATAAATGTGAGTTTAAAATTTAATTGCATTGGTGTATTTATGTAGCGTATAATTTACTGTGGTCTGTCATTGTCCCTCCACTTGTTTGAGCCGGGAGGCTTTTAAGAAACATGGAGTAATTAATTGAATTGGGGTTATTGATTTTTTTCTCTTTGCATAGGTTACTTACAACGCAAACCTAAAAGTTAGATTGTACTACCACTATACGATTGATTGATAGATATGATATACGATTGATTGATAGATTTGATATACGAATGTTTATAAGAATGTCGATATGATATATGAATATTATTAATTAGATTGTAGGGTTTATATTTATTTTAACTAACATTTATTTTAAGTTTAAACTATCTTTCCTGTCAAGCCTTACTTTCCCCTGGAACTGCCAATGCCAGAATATGTAAATTTGAGTAGAACGCGCAAGCATTCAAATTATCAGCGGAAGTATTATGATTTAAATAGAAGGAAACAAGTTCGGTGTGTGATATTCTTACTGCACGAGCGCGAAGGTAGTTAGCGAGAATTGAAGAACCCCGCGTTGCGGCCTATGTGCTTGGCGGGAAGTAGTGGTAATCGTTCCAGTGAGCTTCAAGTCTGCTGAATTAGCAGCGGTATTGTAAAACGCGGTGAGTTAGTTATTTTAGAGAGCCTCGTAGTTAGAATCTTGTCCTTAGTTTCTTTTCAGGTTATTATTTTTATTTGACTGCCGAGTTGGCACCGTCTGTAAGCGTCAAGAAGACGCAATTGTAATTTATTACGTTGTATAAAAAGGGACTTAAACCTCTCTAAACAAGACTCTGTGTTTTATACAGCTTTCACAGTCACCTCTTGGTTGCGTGCAAGTTG